GTCCACATTAAACTAGAAGTAATAGTAGTTCTGGGATAACTGCAGGGCAACCTTGTTCATACCATATCAATGGAATTGCATTTTGCCATCCCCTCTATTTATCTATTCTCCTACTTAAATGAGGACCCAGACTGTGGGGGCGATATTCTGACTCTGTAAACCGCTTAGAGAGGGCTGAAAGCCCTATGAAGCGGTATATAAGTCTAACTGCTATTGCTATTGCTATTAACACCCAGGAGATTTAAACCTGCCCTACTAAGGCAGGAATCTTTCCATAAAATGTCCTAACAGGGTACCTGAGTTTTTCCTGGTAAAAGAACTTCAGTTTGATTAATATGAAGAAAAGGAAAAATGCATTCTACTTTTAAAAAAGAAATCAACAGAACCTTCTCTGTATCATAGTATGCATATTTGAAATATCTTTCTAGTCATTCATTCTCTTTGATTCTCTCCAGAAAATATTCTGTGTTAAAAAAGAAAGTTTCTGAAAGAATATCAATATTTTGACATTCAGGAAGGAAAGGAAAAATTACAAGATAAAGCACAGAACTGAAAGGAAGAGAAACTTTCATGATAATAACTAAAAGAATCAAGGTGTTTTATGATTCTTTAATAATCATCAATGTGCCATTTTTGAAGGGGAAATTTAATACTATAATAATTCTTTCTGTATTTTTTTGTAGATGCCGGCATTCATTTTTCCATTTAAAAACAATAGCAACTATTTTACAGTTTTTCTATTTTATAGAAAATAAATAAAAAATAAAAATGATTTCAATAGAATTATATTGGTCTGTACAAATATATGGGAATATCTGAGGCAACACAATTTAGGTAAATAATAGCATTTTAAACTGAGTTAAATTAAGCAAATTATTTTAAATGAATACAACTAGCAAACTACCCAACCAGATATCAAATATATCTTAGCAAAAGTGTAGTCATTGTATTGTCCTGACAGATTCTATATTACTTTCTAAGTATGTAAGGCCATAAAAATAAATATATAAAAATAAAGTAAAATGTCCTGGGTTATATAAAGGTACAGATGGATAAATATGACATAGCTTCCAACATCATGTGTTTTGTAGAAGTCATATTCCATGCCCATTTATTCTACTATGCATACTATGGACTTATTTTTGCTCATTATAATATAACATACTTCTCAAAGCTCTGAGCACTACACAAACTAAGTAGACTGCTGGACTGATTATGTTACCAAGCCTGGAAAAGGAATGTCTGCAAGAAAACAATCAAGCTCTAAGAGCACCAAGGACCCGTCATTTCGACCCTGAACAACAAATATTCTCCTTTATTCATACTACATATGGGCACCAAACACTTGAGAAATCAAGTAAATGGGAAAAAATTTCCCACTTCCACCAGTAGCACTGATGATGTCACCTAGTTTGGGCAGTGAAATATCTGCAAGAAAACAATCAAGCTCAGAGAGCACATTTCAACCCTGAACTACAAACACTCTCCTTTATTGAAGTTTGAAAAGCAGGAATTGTTATTGCTGAAGTGGACTGATATAGAATTTGTTTTGCTAAAAACAGAATCTTCATTTTCCATTCAGTGACATGATTAGGCACTTATTATGCATTATCAAGCACAAGCACATAGGCAGTATAAAACTTACGGGAGGGAAATTTTTGCTTTGCTGTGTTCTAGGACTTTTGGTTAAGTGCTTTGAAATGATGATATATGAGCTAGGTGTTGCATAGTAAAAAAAAAAAGATATTTAAAGCCCCCCTTAGTCAGCATTGATAAATGATAAATGTTCCAGACTACAAAGCAGTGCCATTCATCATATTCACATGTTATCACAGTCAATGATGGAGCAAACTCTGTCGTGACAGATGGACTATGAGATTATTATCCCCCTGATTTTCAGTCACCAAATAACTCAACTCCTCAAACATTTTTTTTACTTTTCATTCCATTAATAACGTTGTCTATACTTCTGGGCTGGGAATGATCAATGTTATCCTTTGAATTGGAGTAGAAGATGACTAGGAACTAAGGAAGCAACTAAGAAAGCAAAAGAAAGTGTTTGCTTATCCACTGGAGTAGGGGAGGAAAACTGCTAATAACTTCAGAATAAATATAAAATTGTGATCATGGGGAAGAAAAGTAATGATAACACTAAGCATACAATTAATGTTTTTTTCATCTGTATTTAGGTAAACGTTGAATTTTTGATGTGCATGGTATATTGTCATAAAATTTTATATACTACTATTTTACATGCTATACTATGTTTTATACAGTTATTGATTATTCTATGATAATGCGAGTGCCAGCAGTAAAATTGTTCCTAAATTTAAGTGTTACTTATTCATTGCCACATAACAATGCTTTTTGATATAAAAAGTATTCTGTTTATAAATGTAACTTTACAACCACTGCATCCAGGCTCCGTGGTAAATTAATGACATTTTTATCATTTTATAGTGTCATTAAAGTTTTACTGATGACTCCATCAAAAAGGACTCATAAATATCATAAAGCAAACCAATACACTTAGATCAGGGGAGCAGGAATTCATGCCGTATAGTTGTACTAAATGGCCTACCATAAATGACATTTATGCCATCTTTAAGCATGTGAGAACATTTGGACAAGTTCAACAAAACTGTTTCAGTAATTGTGTACTTAAATAACAGTTTACTTGCCAGCAAGCAAAGACTGTGTGTATGTGTATTTCAAACCCTGTGAAAGATGATTGCATCCATCTCTTGAAAAACAATATAAGAAATGTAATAATACACCAGGCAACCCTCCCTTTTAGATTACCATGACTAATCACACTATAACCATTGCCAAATTATTTCAACATGTTTTTTTTTCCTTTTCCACATCTGACATATATGCAAAGGCTAAAGTGGAAAATGGCATACATGCGAATCATTGTGTGAAAGACCTTTCTTCTTCCCCCTAATCTTTACAAACAAATACATCTTTGCTGAAGTAGGCATAGTTGGACAATGATGTAATCCCCTTTATTTCAAGACTCTAGCCTAGTAGTTACCAAAATTTATTTAAACAACCAGTTTTGAGACTCCTTA